TTCAGAAGACACGCGAAATTTCCATGAGTTTACTGGCACAATAAACCATAGCTGATTGACCAATCAGAGCGCGCGCATTCATTTGATTATTATATAAATTATACTAAATTATGATACGTGAATTTCGAGAGTTCAGGGATTCATTCACCTTGATGGAACCAGCGAGCTCAGGTTTGAAGTATTAGAAATACTAAACGCTTCCCAGCCCAAGTCTCTCCTTATATATATATTTAGTAGAATTCTACTAGTATACTAATGCAAATGCTGCAATCTGATTGGCTGAGCTACTCGTATACTATCAGCCATTTGAGTGCAGTGGCTGTCGGTCGTCAACGAAATGTAACGTTTTTATCGTTTTTCTGAAGTTTTGGAAGAAAGGATAGATGTAAATGGATAATTAAATTCCTGAGAAGACTAAAAGAACGACATTAACGGTTTCTTGACTTTAAAAGCTTGAAATTATTGAAAAAACGGGTGCGCCCGTGTAAAGAACTGCAAATTTACCAAGGACAATTCAATACGTGCGATTTTGTTAAAGCGTAAACTTCAATAATGCGTTGAAAAATAATTGGAAACCGTTATTTGCATTAATTTCAGTTAGAATTGTACTAAAACAATAAGATCATTCGCTGTCAATTTCTATGAGGCGATAGTTGATTCCTCGTAGAAATCTCGAGCTCATAATCTAATTGTTAAATATAAAAGAAATTTCAAACCAGCTATTAAATAGTGGCCTCAGTGAAACAGATATAGTAAGCTATTTCGAAAATTGCAACTATAATTACTGTGAAACCGCGAAAGCTTAAAATATTCAATTACCTAACACTTGAATTTGCCAAATATTTTTGTTTAATTATAGAAACGTGATTTATCCAGAAGTTTATCACCTCGATTCGAGGTACTAATAAACTTCTGTTCTAACCTGTTATTCGTTTTTCTATGTTACAGAAATGGCATCTGGGAGTACTTCAGGAACAATCGGACAAATGGCTAAATCGGAATACAGAAATTGGCTTGCGCTTGGTCATGCTTTAACAACCGTGCTTTGCCGAGGTCTGCGCCCCTTTGTCCACCGAGAGACGGAAACCTTCTATAGAAATGTATTGGCAAGAACTGCCGGACCCTGCACATGTGTTTATGTCCCGAGACGAAAACCAAACGAGTACCACGACATGACTACCTGCGCGTGGGCTAACATCATTCAGGCCCATCACCACCGAAATAAACCGAATTGGAAACAAAGTGATCCTGCCAAATGGATGGACCCAAACCTGGGCCCCTGGGAAATAGCTAAAGTCTTCCTTCCTGATTTGGGAGGACATGCCGACATAAAGAGTGCAGATGACTTGGACATCACTGGAATCTTGAATCTGATGTACTGGTGTAACCACTTCACTATTCATCAACCCTTGATTAATGAAGTCCGTGATACACGAAACAACAAGTGGGTGCATGTGCCAAAGCTTGAGTTAACGAATGCTGATAAAACAGATGCTTTTGATGCCATCGTGAACTTGCTCAATGATCCTCAATTAGCTCGAGATCCAGACGCACAGAAAGCCCTTAAAGAAGTCATTAATCTTAAAAGTGTCACCGACTTACACAGTATGGAGGCTCAAATTTTGGCTGATTTTAAAGAAGTAATAAATAAAGAGATTTTAAACTTGCAATTGGAGTCCGAGAAAAACAAAGAACAAGTAAGTCAACTGAAAGAGCAGCAGGAGAATTTGGAAAAGGTCGTGGAGGATTTGGGGCAAAAACACCAGGTTTTATACGCAGCATGGGTCTGGCAACTTCTGGCATATGTGCTCGGACGCCTCATTAGAAGTCTTACACATTTCAGGAAAGGGATTTTCTTGATGTTCCTACTTTGAAGCTTCTGTAACATCTTAGACGATGACACCATCATCAAAGACGGTATTTAAATATTTCTGTAGTTTTATGTGTACCCGTAGCCCTAATAGGCTTAACGAACTTGATGACGACAGGCATTGGTGGGTAAGGCAGAGGAGATGCAAGAAGGTGGCTTCTTTAGGGAAGCTTCTGTAAACATTGCTGGTGCTTGGATGGTTGCTTTGGAAATCCCGGGGGGAACTCCCATACGAAAACGTCGGGGATGCTTGTCGGAAAATTTGAATTAAACCCGTAAGAAAGACCAATCTGCCCGAGCTTTAATTGACCCCTAAAAGATACCACTTAAAACGGAATGGGCTTGATTACCAGCTGCCGGAAAGGAGCCTACGCGGACTGGACTCGAGAGACCCGGCGGAAAGTAAGCCAAACGACGGAAATAAGAGCGGTTTTAGAGAATAAATGTGATACCGAGTAAATGCAGTGTGTCTATAATACAGGCAACAAATGCAAGGAATCGTTGATGTAGTTGTAATACTTCGATATAATTCTATATCATCTTCAGACTGAGGTGACATACAGGTAGCAGAAATTTAAATACTGCAAGATGGTACATTAACATTAGCACGTGAAAATACAAAACAAAGACGATACTATCAAGAGAATAGGCATAGTACCCTACTGGCTTTTAAACCAGTGTTCAAATGTGGTGCTGAACGCTTGATATGGTAAGCTTCTTTATATAGTAATAGATTCCAAATATCATCGCTGCCTATTATGTTTGTGTTACAACGCACGGTTTGGGTGAGAGATTCTTTGTTCATTGCGGTAGAGGGTGGCTTGTCCTCATTGATAAAAATTTCCGGTAAGTTGTATAAACCTTGTATGTGTTTGATCTGATCACAATAGTGCAGATGTTTATATATAGTTCAATACAATGGTCTACGATCCAATGACATGAAGTTAGATTCAATAAGACGAATGTGATTTCCTGACAGAATGATGTGTTACAGTGACATGAAGTCCAATCTAATGACATGAAGTATGTAATCCGACAGAATGACGTATGATCCAGTAAAATGAAGTCCGATCCGATGAAATGAAGTATATAATCCGATAGGATGACGTGAAGAACAGAACGAACAGAACTCTGCTTGTCCGCACACAAGTTAAGAACATGCGGTCACGGACAAAGAAAGCGCTATATATAAACATCTGCGCCATTGTGATCACTGAGATCAAACACATACAAGGTTTATACAACTTACCGGACATTTTTGTCAAAGAGAACAACCCACCCTCTACCGCAATGAACAAACAATCTCTCACCCAAACCGTGCGTTGTAACACAAACATAATAGACAGCGATGATATTTGGAATCTATTACTATATAAAGAAGCTTACCATATCAAGCGTTCAGCACCACATTTGAACACTGGTTTAAAAGCCAGTAGGGTACTATGCCTATTCTCTTGATAGTATCGTCTTTGTTTTGTATTTTCACGTGCTAATGTTAATGTACCATCTTGCAGTATTTAAATTTCTGCTACCTGTATGTCACCTCAGTCTGAAGATGATATAGAATTATATCGAAGTATTACAACTACATCAACGATTCCTTGCATTTGTTGCCTGTATTATAGACACAATGCATTTACTCGGTATCACATTTATTCTTTATCTCTTAAAATTATCAGCTGGTAATGGATTTAAGAGCGGTTTTTTTACCATTATTTCTTAGAATGCACCCTAAAAATACTTTGACAGCTTAAAGTAGTGGCGTTTCGTCGTGGACACCCTAAATAAGACCAGAATCCTAAGCACGACGGCGAGCATCCACGAGCATAAAAAAATCTTGCGCGATCATAGAGCTTTCATCTGGAATATGGTGACAAAACTATCCAGGAAACGATGAGGGGAGGTGGGCGCCCGTTCTCCCCGTTACCGTTAACTTTTCGTGAAAAAGTTGATGTTGATAGCACCTCTTTCTTATTTCGTATTTTTAGGATGCGCCATTAAAAGACACGATGACCAGTGGAAACTTAAATACTTCGACTTCAGTGATTTTGTTACCTCGTCCAGGACAGACTTTATTGGGAGACAATGGCTGTATCGCGAGATGGAAGAGGTTATGGAGCACGCAAGCTCGCGCGGTGTTCTTCTTGTTGGAAATCCTGGTTCTGGCAAGACAGCTTTTGTTTCTAATTTGCTTTGTTCCAGAGCATCAAGCACGTTTATTCATGATAGAATAGTTGGATATCATTTTTGCATGCACTCAGACAAAGGAACACAAAATGCGGCCAAATTTGTAACAAATCTGGCAAATATGGTTGCTTCGACGTTTGTTGAATACGGTGAAATGATTTCGAGCGATTCCTTTGTGCGTAGAGTGTTGCACAGCAATTGCCCGCAAGATCCAGAGTGGTGTTTTCAAGAAGGAATCCTTACCCCTCTGAAGAACATGGTGCAGCAACCCAAAGAGCCCTGGTACATTGTTATCGATGCCTTGGATGAATGCTCAAACAATGGCAAAGCAGAAATTTTAAGCATGCTCGAGTCCAAAGTGCGACGGCTTCCAAAGTGGCCAAAACTGATTATTACCTCACGTAATATAAACGCTATCACTACAAGCCTTGATGGTATGCAAATACTCGATCTGCGATCAGATGACCAAAGGAATCTAGACGATATTGATTTGTACTTATCACTTAAGATCATTCCTTTAAGAGCTTCAATTCTAAACAGAATAAAGACATTCTTTTCAATTACGGACAACAACACTCCGGAAAAGAGGATCGTGACCAGTCTAGTTGAAAGGGCCCAGGGAAATTTCTTATTCATAAAAGTTATGTTAGACTTCCTGTTTGCAACACCAGAAAGTTTCAGATGGACTGAAAACTTCCCAAAAACGCTTGACAACACTTTTCAGTTGTACTTTGAACGAAAATTTGGTTCACGAGAATCCTTCCGATCTTTACGTGATATTTTTGAAGTCCTGGTTGCAGCGTATACGCCGCTATCTGCTCAAGACATACACTCCCTCCTTAAGCTTGACAATCCAGACCTTGACTTTGAGTATGATTTAATACCAAAACTAGAAGAGGTTTCTTTGTTCCTGTGGCATGGATCTGAAAACCGACTTGTGCGAATTTATCATGCGTCTTTGTCAGAATGGCTGACCAGTGAAACCAATAAAGGCAAGTTTTATTACGTGAAGAAACAAAATGGACACAGACGCCTTGCAGAACTTTACCTTCAAAACGCAACCACCACCATGCAGCCCCGGACAATAGAAGAGATTTTCTATTTGGCATGCCATATTGTGGAGGGAGGTTTAAACGAAAATCAGGTCCACAAATTTCTGTCACTTCCTTCAAATATGGTCAACAGATCAGACGAAGTCAAAACCACTGCGTTACATTTAAGTTCAGGGGCAGTCGATTCAAGAGTAACTGAACTTTTGATGAAGCATTTCCATGACGTCGACTGTTTAGATAATGACTGTCGTACGCCTGCCTTTATTGCTGCAACCACCGGATACCTTAAAAATCTAATCATGCTGGTTGAAAGGGGAGCAGATCTTAACCGCACTGTTACATGTCTAGATTTTAAGATGCTAAGAGACACACAAGATTCTGTGCGTGAGTGTAAGAGAAGGGCATGTGAATATTCTTTAATGCACAGCGCTGCGCAAGAAGGGAACATTGATATCGTTGAATTTCTTATCGAAAGCCATTTGAATGTAGCAACAGTAACGGGTTCCAACAACACTGCTGTCCAGTTAGCTGCTGAAAATGGACATCTTGAGGTCGTTTTAGCCCTTAAGAAAGCTGGTGCAGCTTTGGATGGCATCTCTTTGCATCACGCTGCTGCTGGTGGCCACAATCATGTCGTGGAGTATTTAATAAATGAAGGTATTAGAGATGATTGTATAAATAAGAGTCCTTCCCTAGCGGAATCCAGTCACACAAGGAATATTTGGCAGGGCGTCAGGGTACATGCATATGACAACGGTCACTTGAAAATGCGCGAGACAGCGCTTCACGCTGCCGTCAGAAATGGACATTTATCTGTGATTGCAACTCTGCTACGTCACGATAAGAGTGCTATCAATTGCTCTAATATTGCGGGCAGACGCCCCCTACACGAGGCCGTTCATTTGAACAGTTACCATGTGCTGAAAGCGATGTTAGCTGCCCAGCGAGTGAATGCTTCTGTGCGCTGCAATACTAGCTTGCAGACGTTGGGTAAACTTGGTGGGTCACCGCAATATCACTGCCCTTGTGGATTTACTCCGTTACACATCGCAGCCATGCGCGGTTATCACAGTGTTGCCAAACTTCTCATCACACAGAACGCAGACATAAATGCGGGAGATTGCAACGGTGCTACTCCACTTCATATAGCTTCCTGTCATGGTATGGTATCTCTTTTAACCCTTCTTGTCGATAATGGAGCAAACCCAAATCGACAGAGCTTCAATGGTTCCACTCCTCTTCATAGCGCAGCTGCCTGTTCTGCCACAGAAAGTTTCCGCCCTTTGCTCGACTTAGGAAGCGGCTTCGTGAAAGATATGAAGAAAATGACTGCATTGCATTACATTGTAAAGGATGTAACGGTTGTTGGCACAGAGTACTTTGCTGATTTATATGTTTGCCAGCCAAAGGACTGGATTGAAGTGGCCGTTCACGAGAAAGAACCGTGGCAGAAAGGGGAACTGAAATATTCTTGGTTGAATGCATTGATTAGAATAACCAAGAGTTTTGCTGCTAGTCTTGATCCAACGCAACAGTTTGAGATTGCTACTGATCTCATACTAAAAACCTATTCTAATGTTTTTTATATCTTGGGAAAAAGAGCTAATGCTTCTCATTTTCTCACTGGGAGCGATGGTTTGGAGCACAGTTCTCTGGTGTCTATAGCAACTCCGACTGCTTTTGTTATTGATACACTTTTTCACGACTTACTAAAACGTTTCCTTGTGACAATCAAGAAACCATACGAACCAAATTTGATTCCAGAACCATTGACCAAAGCCTTGTCAATGACATTCGCATTAATCTTTCCGGCACTACAAGACTGCTCGTTTCTTACTTCTACAGTAAGAGAGGATATGGTTTACATCGTGAGCATCGTCCTGCAAGCCGGTGCGGACGTCAATTGCCAAGACCATTCGGGGATTAGTCCTCTTTTGGCTTATCTACACAGTGGTGGGCGTCACATGTCTAAAGTCTTAGCAAAGCACCGGGTGAGAATGAGCATCACATGCGAAGACCCTTTTGAAATGTCCGTACTGCACTTGATATCTTACCATAAGTTACATTATTTGCATTACCTTCCCGAGTTCTTGCTTGGAGATGAAAACTGGTCTAAATTTCGAGCATTGGATGATTCAATGTTTGACTACTTCTTGGAGAAATACGAAGAGACACAAGTAGACGGACACAAGGAAACAATCCGGACAAGCGACGGTCCATTGGCTTTGGCAATCAAATCGCATCCTAAGGGAACCGAAGTTATCAATGAGTGCTTTGACGCTGAAGGCTATAATGCTTTACACAGAGCAGCGCAGGGTGCAAACGTAGTTGCAATAAGAAAATACCTCGCTTGGGGAGCCGACCCATCCCAGGAAAATTCATATGGGTATTCCCCGCTCTGGCTTGCAGTTTTAAATTCGGTCAAATACACACTTTTCTTGAATTTTCATAAAAAAAATGTTTTAACAGCTTTGGAAGTGGATCTGGCATCAATGTCGGCATCTGTTATTTTAAGCCACCTTTTACTACGTGGCTCAGTAGACATAGGCTGTGACAAACGGCGACCCGATCTAACCTTATACCATATCGCAGCTATTAAAGGAATGTGGCAGTTTATCTCTCATTTATTTTCGGAAAAGAGAATAACAGGCCTTGACGTGAACTGCCCTAACAAACATGGTATAACGCCAATGTATTTGGCAATGCTCGTTGGTGGTACTACTTGTGAGTGGGACAGCCCTTGGTGTAAGGTCTTACAAATTATTCGGAGCCGCGGTGGAACCTTACAGTTCCCGACTCAAGAGGCTGAATACTTCCTTATTTCTGGTCTCTTTTTTGGAATGAGACCAGGTTACACGTTCCTTGAGTTAACAGAGCACGAAATATTAACTCTTCAAGAAGACTGTGGGCGTGATGAATGTAAGAGATACAAAAGCGGAGATACCGATCTGTTAAAATCATCTTGTGAACTCGATAGACTATACATTGAATACAATGAAAACCTGGACCAGTGTTTCACTTGCAGTAAAGGATGTCCGCCCGAGATAAAGGGACTTTTGCCACATTTCGAATCTCTCAAGGCTGTTTTTCATGACCAGCAACTCTTGAAATTGCACCATGGCAGTGTCAGAGATAATTTTGTTAAGTTTCTAGACGAGGAAAGTAAGCGTATACAACGTTTTTTGCTGGAGGTTACCAAACCCTACACAAGGCTATCATGCAGCAAAGGACGCCGGCCAGAAGGCATGACTATTGATGGCGGTAGTCGTCGTCAAAATGACATGTGCACTGACGGTATGAGTATGGAATCCGCTTTACGTTTGTCCTATCGTAATTTCAAATCAAGCTCTGATCAGCTGCAGAGGCTTACAGAAAAAGCCAGATCCTATATTTTTTCCAAGGGAAATCCCCCACGATTACTATCAAAGATAGGTCATGCATTGCATAATTATGACACCACCCTGAGCTGCGACTGGCAGGCAATTTCAACCAGGTATGTGATGTTAAATTTTCAAATTCGGAACTTCAAACTTGCGACCCAACATGTGAAGGAGAATTCCAGAGTGGTGAGCATCTCCGATTTTGCCTCACACCGCATACAAGAAGTCTTTGTCAAACCGTCTCAAGAGACACTGAAACTTGTATTAAGACTTGCTTCCGAGAAGTCTTCGGGCTTCGACGATCTTGACTATCTTATGATTTTGAGATTCAGAAAGCCGCCTTTATGGAAAGGAACCTTTTAGCAACTTCCTTTGACAGATAGTAGAGTTTTAAACAATTATCCTTGTTGACGTGAATCAAAGCAAAACTTTTAACATCTGGCCAGTGATATAAAACAAATAACTCAATGAACCATTCAGAACAACACAATTGCAAGTAGATCGAGGTGAGAAGTCAATTTCAGTGATCAAGGCGTAACGATCATATGCCTTTGGAAACCTGTAGTTGTTTCTGTTGCACCCTTAAACCACGACACACTTTAAACAAGAACATATCACGTCATTTCAAGAGATTTCAGTGTGTCCAGTTTGACCAGTATGATTTCCAAGTTGTGTTTAAGATTTTTTTGTGTGTTTAAGATGAATCAATAGTGAACTCGCGAACATGGGATTTGAGTCAGTGCAAGAGAGATTGAACATTGCCACGTATGAACAAACTTTGTTGTCACCGCAGGGGGTCTAGGTACCTAACTGGCGCCGGTAGTGAGGTTATATCATGTGAAGTCGTCGTTTAACGGAGATTAAAGACGGGAGAATTTCAAACCAACAACCTTAAAAGTGGTCGCGGTCACCTCCGATTTGAGAAGCAAAAGTCCGGATATTTTGGAGAAAAATATTTCTTGGAAACGTAAGCGCTTACGAGAGGTGGTCGCACAGGGAGGTTCGACTGTAGAGTTCTATATTGATGAAAGTGAAGGATGATCATCGCAGTAAATTTTCCAATTTAAGCAACTGGAAATAAGAAGCCTGAAAAAAATCAGGGCTTCATCCCGTTGAAGCCCTGATTTTTTCAGGCTTCTTATTTCCAATTAAAAATTGGAAAATTTACTGCGATGATCATCCTTCACTTTCATCTACAACCGCAGTTCATATATGAATTATTTCACATAAACTTCACATCAGTTCTATATTGAGTTCACTGTATTGACAATTGCTTGCCCACGTAACTAGTTCCAGAACTAATCGAGGCGGAGGCAAGAGTTTATATCAAAAAGGAAAGAAAGAAAAATAGTAATGATAATTTACCGCAAAAATTACAAAAGGTAGAAGTAAACGATAGAAACAACTACAAGTAACCGAAAGCGAAGTAACAGTGCAATAAATGCGCACATACACAAGCGACTAGAATACTATACTAATTTAGAGACAATCTGAATCAGTTGGGAGACTTCAATATAGTCATCTTCACATTGTAACACATCAAGTGTTATTCCTGGGGCATTCGACCTGGAGAGTAGTATATTTCTTGTTATTAAAAACCGGATCATTGGATAATACAATTCAAGAGTTTTTCATTGGTTTAGCCATCATGGTATATGAGCAATTATAACATGCTCTACAAATATGGTATCATAATTTTTGGGGGCGTTTTTATTTTAGTTTTCTAAATTTTTTAGGGGTGCTTAGTAAAACAATTATACCACTCGCGCTTTTTGGATATGAGATGATTATAGCCAACTCGGCGCGTCGTTGGCTATCTATTTAACAATTATTTCACGAGCGCGCGTTGGTTATGAGATGATAGATAGCCAACGAGGCGCGTAGCTCAAGACGAGTGAATTTGTTTGGGGAGAAACTACACAGTAAACAACGCGACATGGCCGATCTAAAAGCTTGTGATCAATGAAATGCGGGGGTAGGAGCCCCTGATATTACATTAGGTTCGATCTTCGGTGAGACGGCAACGACAATAACGTTCTACTTACAATCTGTACACTACTTAAGTTCGGAATATTCAAAATGTTACTTACTCAAACTATCTAATCCGTATTTGTAATCGCATGAATTTAAATACCTTAATAGCAATATAATTCAATATTAATTGCGCAATTGAAAGGATTAATATTGTCAGCTGGTATGTTTGTTAGTATAATAGCCTTTATGTTCTAGTTTCGTTCTTTGCGTGACGAAAAATTGTTTCATTTTGTCTGAGTAGAGAGAAATATGAGTTTTGGGTTCTAATCCAACGTTAAGCAATTTTAAATAATCATACTGACGGTAAAATCCTAAGGATGACTTGACCACAAACTCTAATGGCCAAGAATCATGGTGTCTTGACTGATCAACAGACCATTCCATTCGCTCTCTTATGAAGTTTGGATACCCATGATATAACACTGTCAATTCAATGAAAGTAACATCCATTAAATAGTGCTGTATATGAAGTTGAAATGTTTGTTCAAATCGAAAACAGATTTGGTTGAGATACCAAAGTGGAGTGCTGCCTTCATACTGTTCAATAAACTTCTGCAATTTTTTTTTATCCACAAAAAGTGGCCGATACGTATTAAAAACCATCTTAAAGCAAGCGAAGTCTCCAAATACCTTCTCATACCACATTCTCATTAAGTAAAAAAGGCTAGTTTGTGCCCTTTCCAGGTTTATCTTTTGAGCCTTTGGAGGTAGAAACCTTACAAAGCTATTATACGTCGAAAACAGAGAAAATCCCTGCTGTTGTTTTTCCTGACATATTTTTATGTCCTCTAACGCACAAGGTAATAGTTTGCAAAGGCAGTAATGACGCTGTAAAAGTCTTAGTTGTCGCATGAGCTCCTTCTCAATGCTTCCAGTTGAAATACCAAGTTCCATCCGCTTTGTCGTGTTTATACTGTTCAGTTGGCAGTGTACTGAATTATTCTGCCAATAACCATACGTAGATAACAATCCGATAACAAACCCACCAACGTCAGGTCTTAGCTTCAACTCAAAGTCCTTGGGAATCCAACCATACAACCTGTTGTAGATTACGTTGTATTCAGCATTTCTGCTTGGATACTGCATCTGA